TCAGCAATTATGAAAGCATACAAAGCACAAAGTTCTAGCATTTTAAAGAAATGAATGTCCGCAGTTGTAGAAGAAGGAGATGTGATTCTAACAGGGTTAAAAACAAGCAATTTCACGACCTCTAACGGTTACAGTATAAGAAGTTAAACATCATGTCACAGAAGTAATATTGCAAGAACCTTCCTTGGAAAGGTGCATCAAAACACAAACTGCTGTACGTTCTGTATGCTCTTCACTTCTCTGAATATAAAACTCTGATAGTGGATTTCTTTTTAACTCTGAACTTAATGTTCCATCGCAAGAAAGCACCAATAAGCTTTAATTTTGTTCCGTAGAAAAACCAACCGGTGGGCCATTTTTTTATAATGCGCGAAAACTCCCAAGCTAAGAAAACATTTTAACTCATAACCTACAGTTTTAGACTCTTCCATTTAATTTATATAGCTGAATTGTTAAGGTCTTCAATGTCGAGTGGATCTAACTACTCTTCCTTTCCGTAATTATGAAACTTTTTGCAGACCATTTGGAACTTGCGGACAAACTGTGGCCGAGACCACAGTTCGAGAACCTCTGCTCTAATTGTAAGTAAACCAAATAATATGTATTTGATTTAGATATGTAAATAATATCTTCACAGTTTCTGATCGGTTGTAAATTGTTTTTAAGCTTATTCTATTACTTGAGACGTGGAATTAGTGATGATTTAACCACTGTATCAATATTATATCTTAATAATAATTAATATAAACTTAAGCTTAAAGTAAGCTATCTAGTCAAATTGAGAAAACATGGCAACAAGTACAGCTATCTAAATATATAAAGATAACATTATATTGATTCATCAGTTTAGTATCCTATTAACGATACTTTTTGGCTGTAACATCCAATAATATCTCGCAAGGTTCTACCAGATTAGGAGATTTAGGTTAGTCCTAAGTCATTATATCAACCAATAATGCTAAAATCCAATAATATCTCATGAGATTCTGCTAGTTTAGGAGATCTAGGTCAGTCGTAAGTCCTTATATTAACCAACAATACAAGATAATCCTCGTAATAAAACTACAATAATAACCTGAAATAAATAAATATATTAAACATTCCTACCAACATTGTCAACGAAAGGAACAGAGTAAATCTTACTTACGCATGGATCATATTAAAAGGCTTGAGTTAGCTTAACATTATAAATTTCAAACTATGAACAATCAGATAAGCTTTAATATTCATAAAGGGCATAATTAAGTGCTTGTAGTTAGATCTCTGTCATATCACAAACAGGAGGGATGATTTACACAAACTTTATGTACATTGCCTGGGATATTGTAGCGATTGGTCAAATCTCTTCGCTGATAGATATCTAAAGTAATCAATGTCCACGAAACCTGACACGAGGATGTAACGTGGCAAGAAGGAGACTTCTTGTGTTATCAAGACCATCACGAGAGGTTACTAACCTGTTCTCGAGCATAAAAAATCGGAAATATCAAGTTCAATGAACAAGTTTGTGTATATGTAGTTCGGTGGATATGTGGTCTACAGAGTTATTATTCATACAAAAAAGGGGGGGGGTTAAAACTTCATATTGATTTCACTACTATAAACTTAATTTAAAATAGTATTTTTATGTATTACTAGAAATAATGGATTGTTTGTATTGTCAACCTTCTTTGTTTCACTTCATATATTAATAAAAAGAAAACAAAAAACGCAGCTATTAAGTGGTTAGGATTTTAAACAAATCTTAATGCATTTACTATCTTTAGTTTCAAGTAGCTCATTAAATGTCGTCGCTTGTGGAATTTCACTTAAAGCTACTCGAGGACTACCTGCCGTCCATAATTTCGAAGTGATAGACTACAGGGAACGCAGCTAGTCAACACCACCCATTGTTAACCAATGGGCTACTGGAATCGAATAGGGGATTTGACTGTCACTCTAATAACGCACACACTGGCCCAAAGTGAGGAGCGCGATATATATATATATATTTGGCAGTAACCGCGGATCCACAGTCCGGCACAGTAACCACTGGGCCACATACGGTTCCTAATTAAATGAAAAACCTGTTAGGTCTTGACGTCCTTTCAACAATTATTTGAACCTATAATACAAAACAGCAAAATAAAATGTATTCGATTGTAACATTGTTATTAACTCAGATAGTCTTGTCTTATATTTCGTCCCTTTTCAACAGTTTTATCAACTACCAAATGCACTATATCTTAAAATTGGTCAGCCTAGAAACGCTAGGTGTCGCTATAAACTGTGGGCAGAATTCGCGAAAAAAACAAAAAAAAACACGAAAAAATGAAGGAGGAGCTTTCGCTAGGTTTGTAAAGTTTTCATATTAGGTTTATGGATCATGTAATGAAGTTATATAAATGTTTGTTTCCCGTATTCAGCAAGTAACACAGCAAATGTATCCTTTTCGTTTACAACCATGAGTATGGCGTTTTCTATTGTGGTTTAAACTGATTTTTCTATCGCAAATTTGTTTACATTCAACAATATGTCTCTATTTTGTAAACAAACGCCCGGAAGAAAGATTTGCTCAGTCCTGCTATGCCTACAATTCTGATTTGGACGAGGAGGTAGCAGAAATGTGCAGACAGGGAGTGACGGTAATATTTACATAAGAGTAACTTAAAACTGACAATAAACATTAAAGGAAACTTCTCAGACAGGAAATAAGAACAATACTCAAAGGAAAATACTTGGGATGCTATGAATTAGAACAATGCGAAGTAAAAATACTAACAAAACAATACCATTGAAAAATAAAATGAGAAATAAATGAAATAAAATGTACTGTATAACTTTTCAGTTGTAAAGTTGCAACACGAAAGTGTCATGACCTCAATGACGTAGAACGACTCGTTTGTGACTTGTTTTAAAGTTCAATGAACAAATTAGAGTTCGAAGCACTTAAGCGAATATTTTATAATTCCGAATATCATAAAGCGAGTATCATATCTACGTATTACATAAAATCTAATAAGTGACTTTGGAATAATAAAGGTACTGTCTTATGATGTATTACATAAAATCTGAATCTGATCTTAGAATAAAAAAGGTATGGTCCTATGATGTATTACATAAAATCTAATAAGTGACTTTGGAATAATAAAGGTACTGTCTTATGATGTATTACATAAAATCTGAATCTGATCTTAGAATAATAAAGGTATGATCCTATGATGTATTAAATAAAATCTGAATCTGATCTTAGAATAATAAAGGTATGATTCTATGATGTATTAAATAAAATCTGAATCTGATCTTAGAATAATAAAGGTATGGTCCTATGATGTATTACATAAAATCTGAATCTGATCTTAGAATAACAAAGGTAGTGTCCTATGATGTATTAAATAAAATCTGAATCTGATCTTAGAATAATAAAGGTACTGTCCTATGATGCTTTAAATAAAATCTGAATCTGATCTTGGAATCATAAAGTTACTGTCTTATTCGTGTGTCACACTAAATCTGATATGTGAATATAAAATCGCAAAAACTGAGTTTAAATGGTTAAGTAATCAAACGAATGGTTCGAGTTTGGCAGCCATTTCTATTTTACCGCCAGGAATGAGGAATTCGAAATTAAAATAATGTCTAGCCGAGCATGGGAACCCTTGTATGGGACAAACGATTCTTGTGCTACTGCTCAGAATAAATGGAATGGAGAAGCCATATATAACTTTTATTTGTTTGTTGCTCTTAAAAGAAGTAAACACCTCAGTCTATCAGAAAATTTGGTGTTCTTCACTTTCTTAATTAGTCAGAACTATATCAACCATTTTTCTAACAAAGGTAACATTTTGACACAAAATAAAGTGATTTTATGATGGTGAAGTACACGCTTAACTTCAAGCTAGGTCTTTTCTTGAAATAAATGTAATTTTTTTACAATTCATATTCTAAAATAAATTATTTTCCAATCAAATTCTTTATTTTTCTATTCGAGAAGTTTTTCTGTTATATAAAAACCTGTGTTTTAGAATACATCTTTTGACACTTACGAATGGTCAGTGCTAATCGTTTGATTTTTAACACTGCAGAATGTACCAGAAGTAACAACTAAGTGTTTTGTACAGTAGAATAAATAAGCGGTCTATTTTATTCAGAGTTTGGGGAATATTTTGGAAATTTCATTTCAACCATAAATAATTTCCATTTTCTATCTAGGTCGAGAAATAAATATATTTTTCAAACATTCTCAATATATACAGATACATTAAATATACATTTGGTCTTACAAAAATTATATTATCTTTAATGTTGGCATAAAAATTGATTACTGCTAATTTAATATTCGTAATGAAAAGAATATACAGTATATAGGTTTCATGTTAAAGATAAACTATGTGTAAAGGAATTTACGAAACTACCCACAATTTGTCGCTATGAGGTGTACCCGAGTTTGTATACCAAACGTCATCGAAAATGGTTTCTCATAGCTTAAGTAGATATAATTTTTAAGAGAACTTTTTTTGTAAATTTCATTGAATTTGCAACTAGTACAACAAGAACAAATGAATTAAAAGAATAACAATTTTTCTATCTGAACACGTTTTAAAATTAGTTCCAAGAATGTGAAACTAACACAGTTAAAAAAACTGGAAGTTGTTAGAATAACATTGAAAATGCGAACAAGACTGAAATACAAAAAATAAATAAAATGCGAATAAAATTTCATTTAATAAATAACTGATAGACACGTATCGCTAAGGCACACGGGGTAGCTGTGTAAATAACAACTGATAGACACGTATCGCTAAGACACACGTGGTAGCTGTGTAAATAACAACTGATAGACACGTATCGCTAAGACACACGTGGTAGCTGTGTAAATAACAACTGATTAATAACATATTCTTTTATTTCAATAATTTTAATATTACAAATGTATTAATGGTCATGTAAAATTGTAATTATGGAGAAATTTTAACTTATATATATATATACATAACTAAAATGAAATGTAATTTACAAACCTTCAGCTGGGAAACAGGGTCACTTGGATTTAGTGACATGTCATCACAGTGGCTATTCCTCAACTTTTACCCTTCCTATGCTGGTCTACGAGACAGGTTCAATAATCTGTGGCACCTAAAATAACCGTTAAATATCTACGTTATAAAGAAATATATAAAAATGTTGAATAAAATTGATCATTTTGGAAATGTTAAAACATCAGTTGCTGTATCATATATATGTGGTTAAAATAATTTATTTAGTACAGTCTTTAAGTACATCTACTATATAAAGCAAAGTGTGTGTTCTGGGAAAAAATACACGGTCATATATCAATCATTTCATATCTGTTCCTTATACGTTTCCACATTTCTTTATCAATCAGCACCAAACTTGACACAGCGATAGAAGATGACATGATGAGGGTCATGGGGTTGAGGGGTTAGACCCCCATCATTTAATAATATAATATTAATATAATTCTTGAAAACAGTATGTCTTTATTTTCAGTATTGATACCTTTATGTATTTTTATTGTACTTTTAATGCTCAGGAACAACGGTTTACACATTCATTGCTAATGTGCTGATGAAAAGTGAACAGAGAATAGGCTGTTCTGTAGATATGTTTACTGCTCCATGGTTTCAGAGGTGGCTTGGTTAGGACAGTATGTCTACAGGTGAGAGTAACCACAGTCACTTTGTTTAGTGTGAAGAGTTGGGCAATGTGATTTATGGTCTTATTATTGTATTTTACTTTCATTCTATTTTAGCAATGATGCAAAAATTTTCTCGCATTGTGATATGTTGCCCACCACCAACCATCCTTCTAACTGGGATTAAACAATACACAGAAAATTGTATCCCGGATCCTGTCATTCCAGCTTATGATGTTGAAAAAAGCTTATTTTAAACTTTACCATTATTTCAGAGTTAGGATAAATGGTCGTGTCATTGGTATATTCAAATCTCTGTCAGAATTTATAAATATCTTTATTGTATTGGCAAGCGCTAAATGCGGAGAATATAAACTCTTGGAGCTTTTATCTGGTAAGAAGGGCTACTTAAGAATTTTAACATAGCCAGAGAGTGTAAATCAGTAACAGGAGTGTTGGCCTTTACCTTACAATAGGACGCACTGTTAGTTACTCCGTTGCAACCAGGAGGAAAAGAAAGAAAAATCGATTATATTACCACAAAGTGTCACACGATCAGGGCCCACATATATGTAAACCACTGAAGTCAAGGCAGTGTTCAACCAGTTGGTCAGTGGATGGGTCGTGAAATTATTCCTCGGGTATCCAAAACGAGTGCCAAAAGGTCAACTAGAGATCCCAAGGTATCCTAGACCGATGTGGAGATGAATAAGGCCAGGGTGAAAGTAGCATCAATATCAAAACTGGCCACTTCTCCTGCCCTCTGACCACAAACAGGAGTGACCACAAACAGGGGCTGCTAGTTAAAAGTAAAACTGTACAGAACAAAGAAACACCTGTAGAAAGTCAGAGTTCTGTGCGAACCATTTCATTTTCAATACTAGCGACTACAAAAACAGCGGAATTCTGAGAAAAGGTCAAGTTTAGAAAGAGATGACTGTATACATTTGTCTATTTTATAGGATTTTGTGTTGTGCGAGTTTCTTACCGCGTTTTTGTCACTTTTGTGTCAGGTCGTAATGACCTCAGAAAGAAGGATACTGAAATATCATATTGCATATTTAAAACTAGCCAGTGAGACAAACCAAAAATAAATTTGTTTGTTTGAAGATAAGCACAAAGCAACACAATGGGCTATCTGTGCTCTGCCCACCACGGGTATCGAAACCCGGATTCTAGCGTTATAAGTGCGCAGACATACCGCTGTGTCATTGGGGAGCATCGAAAAATAAATAACTCTTAGGTATATCTATATAGACAGATATGTAAACAAATAAACGGTGTACTTACTAAAGATAAAACAGGTGAAAACATAACAAAGGTAAAGTAGATACTACCAGTGAATACACTGTAAAAGTAGTTACTGAGGCTACTCTAATAGTTGGATTTTGCCGTTACAAACATCCACGTCCCCAAACCGCAGAGATAATTTTTACTTTAACGCGACGCAACTATGAACCCACGGGTTCACACTCCGGCACGCTATTCAAATGGCCACGACCGGCCCAATAAAGTACAGAGAAATTAAACTCAGACAGTTATTTAACTTTAAGAACATTGGTAATAGCCTCAGCCACGTAAACTTACGGGATTTGTGTTTATATTTGAATGTCAATACAACACTTCCACCATTATTTGTAAAGTTTTGTTTCATAAAGATAAATGGTTGTTAAGAGTGTGATGGAGCGAAAGTATCTGGAAATAAATAGGCTAGACCTAATGCAATTATAAATGACTGATTATATCAGTATTTGTAAGGCGGGTGTTAGACTCCAAGGTCGAACACGTGGCTCCCACGTGCTAAAAACATTTCAAAGAAGAGTGTTTCTCTGTCTATTATACTTGTTGCAAGAGACAGGTTTTAGACAATATAGACAACTCAGTACCTGTAAAACCACCTAATTACACAATAGCCGAAACTTTCTTTAGTTGGTGATGTTGGAACTAGAGGGTGCTGCACATATACATGTTTCTCACATTTGTTTGTCTTTGTTAGGATGTAATCTTGCAAAAATGTGGAAGTTATGCTGTTGAGAAACTTTATTGGCATCAAAATGAATATTTCGAACAGCTATAGGGGTATAACTGGAAATTTAGTTATCAATTTCTTTTTAAAGTTTCACATAGCATGTTAGGATATCGAAACAATTGCGATTTTTCCTTAATATATTTTTTTTTTTTTATAAATGCACGAATAGTTTTACCACATAAACGCCATTTTGACCAAAGTTCGTGAAAAATTAAACTAACCGAAAACACTTTTGTATGATCTTGTATGTCTGCTATAAACAGGGTTCGGATACCCGTGGTGGGCAGAACACAGATAGCCCTTTGTGTAGCTTTGTGTTTAATAACAAACACACAAACAAATACAAACTTATAAATTGCTTAGTAAAAACACATCAATTAAACTATAATTATTAATATCTGGAGAACATCTATCAAAACTTGGTAATTAAAAGTATGAGATTTACCAATTCTACCTCTCAGTTCACAGGCTGATATTAGAAAAAATAAAATATGCTATATTGCCAACTCTGCAGAAGTATTCTAGAGTTCATAGTCATGTAGACTGAATGTTTTAACTGTCTAAAATACAACATTGGTTAACTAAAATATAACATTGTATTCAATTGGTTAATTAATGCAACCAAATCACTATCAGTTTGATTGCTTTGAATTCTTTACATTGTAAGCCATATCATGATGATAAATACTTTTAACTTCCAATTCAAGAGCTCTGGCCATTGCATCCTACATAGTAGAGGGGTGTGCTTGCTTCACTTATACTTTTAGTTGTGGAC